TTTTTCTCCAAGCTTTTCCACTGAAAACAGCAACCTTTTATATTAAATCATATTAAAAAATAATATATTTGGTGAGTATTCAAATGTAATTTGCCTTGTAACATCATGATAACAGGATTTGCATGAAACAGACCATGTTTGAATTTTCCTTTTATCGTTCAGGCTTTTTAAAGCTGGGCAACCAGTGTGAAAAGGGATTATATCAGACTATTGCCTGCTTGATACTGTGCTACCAGTTTTGATACCTCAGTATAATAATTGACAGCCACGCTGTTAAATATTTTAATCATAAATACCCTAACCACCACAGTTTTCCCATTAATGCTGCTCTATTTCATTACCATGTTCCTATATCTAGGACACGCATAATCTTGGGATTCCTTTCAACCGTCCAATTTTTGGTGCCAGTACCTCATGGCTGTGTAATGAAAAACACATCCAGAACGTACATGTCGACAACACTGGTGCTGAGGGAGAGATAAAGCAATGCGTAATGAGATGTTAAAAAGGGAAACGGTAGATTGAGGAGAGGATGAACGGAGAGCCATGGCAACTGTAATAAGTGACAAAAGCATTTAGAGCATATTAACACCTTCATTTGGCTACGAGGTGTTTTATTTGCATGCAAAGTATCTGAACCCCCTACAGCAGAGGGTCATTGCTACATCTGTACAAACAGCATCCAATTCCACATTGCATGAATTCCTCACATCTCTTCCCCGCCATTAAACTGTTCCCGCTTCTCTTTTAAGCCTCTGTTCTTTCCCCCGACTTGCCTCTGTATCAGTGCTATATCAGTCCTCATTAGGGCTGTGCTAAAGACACTAGACATTATTGACTGATTGGCTGGTGATTTGTTATCTAAGTTATCCACAGTAGTGATCATTTTGGTGTCGTTTAATGGGGTCCACAGAGACATAGCACCCTCTACACCCTCTACACCCTCTACACCCGACTCCCTCCCCCTCCCAATTGTTTTTCGGTGGCTAAATTATCTCTTAATGACTTTGTTTAGGAAATTACTTGCCTAAACGCCCATAATCAAATTGATCTGGTGCTGGGGAAACAGACAGATTAACAAATCTGTGTAAATCCTGTTGAAGCGAGTGGAGCACGGTGGTGAGTTCAGGAGTCCTGTTTAATTAAAAGTAAAGAAAAGATAGTTAGGGTTGATGGCGTTTTAAAGCTCAGACTAAAGTTTCACTCGGCCGTTTATCATTGCATTTTTCCTCCTCTGTCGTCCCTTACCATATTTATTGCATATTTATTTGTTGGCTTAACTCTCATAATCAAATTGATCTGGTGCTGAGGAAACAAACAAATTAAGGTTGTTTGAATAGATTTGAAGCAAATGGAGCATAGTGGTGAGTTCAGGAGTCCTGTTTTTCCTAATCGTTCAAGATGATGGGGTATTAAAGCTCAGACTGAGTTTAACTCGACCAGATATCCTTCCCATGTTTCTTCCTCGTTGCCACTTATGAATTGCATATATACTTATAGGTATATTTGCCTAAAGAACCGTCATCAAATTGATCTGGTGCTGAGGAAACAGACTACTTAACAAGGTTGTTAAAATGGTGTATAGTGGTGAGTTCAGGGGTCCTGTTTCATTAATAGTGTAAAAACAATAGAGTTGATGGCTTCAGACCAGTTTCACTGACCAGCTACCGCTCCCATTTCCCCTCCTCTGTCGTCACTTACCATATATATATATAAACATATATACATATTGCCTAAACACCCATAATTAAACTGTTCTGGTGCTGTAGAACCAGTCAAATTAACAAGGTTGTTTAAATATATTTGAAGTAAACGGAGCTTGGCGGTGGGTTCTGGAGTCCTGTTTCATTAATAGTAACTAAAAGATAGCTAGAGTTGGTGTTTTAAAGCTCCGACTAAAGTTTCCCTCCGCTGGCTATCCCTTGCATTTATCTTTCTCTATCGTCGCTTACCATATGTGTCGAATATATAAATAAATATAAATGCATTGACTCGGCACACAAATGAGACTGTTGGGATGGCGCCACAAAACAAGCTCAAACCCTGAATATGTTTGTCACAACACTGAAAACAATAGTCCCCCCCGGTGAAATAAGTGCCACAGTAATATGCTACTGACAGCATAGTATTTTAATGTTTCTTAAGCCCTCACAGTGTGCCTTCTTCAATATGACTTCCGTGACATCTACCACCATTTCAATTTCGTACACGGAGCGCTATAGCACCCTGGGGTTGGATATTTTGTATTAGTGTCTCCTCCAAATGGCAAAATGTATATGTGACTTGCAGTATGCCTCGTTCAATGATAATGGCGTATTACTACAGCTTGAGCCAGGCAGCGAGGCTCCTGAATGGACTCGGCTACGTCCATTTGTCATAATTACAGAGATGCTTTGGCTCTGAACCATTTGCGTACACACACACACACACACACACACACACACACACACACACACACCACACACACACACACACACACACACACACATACACACACACATACACACACACACACACACACACACACACACACACACACACACACACACACACACACACTTTTCTACTTGTGTATCTACTTATTCTGCTGTCCCATGAAATTGTATAGCCCAGGGTGTCTAATTATGCTAATCGAATGCGTACCGCCTGACATTTATTCATACATTATTAATAGCAGAAACAATAGAATCTGTGATTGGATATAGTGACTTCCTGACTTCTCATCTTCATCTTCTCTCTTACTCTTTCTCACTTATCTCTCACTTCATCTCACCCTCTCTTTACCCCGTGACCTCCTTTTCTTCTCGTGGGGACTTTTTTCTCCTTCACCTCCTATAATTTGGCTTGTGGGTGTTGAGTAATTAGCATGCCTCCCACTTTGGTTCTGATGTCAGCGCAGGGAATGTGAGAAATGTCCCATAAAGATTATGTGTCCTGATAAGGTTATGTCTGAGACTCCATTAAAGAGATGGGCTGCACAATGGCTGTTTGTACCCTTCTGTGGAGAGAGAGAGAGAGCGAGAGAGAGAGAGAGAATGAGAGGCTGACAGACGTAAAGGGTTTCCATGAACCTGCATAGAGAAAGGCAGCATTTTGTTCTATGTCTGTTGAACTTTCTTCTGTTCTTAATTTTTTTTTTTTTAGGATTAAGATAAACCTGATATGTTAATCACTCTAGTTAATTAACATATTTTACAATGTTGCTTACAAGTAAAACCATAATAACCATAAGTTTTTTATGTTATGGTTATTGCTTCTGGGCTTGGATTGTTTGAGCAAGATCCATTATTTCCAGTTCCAGCTATGTAAACTTAAGATAAGACATTGCTTCCCTTACAATAATTCATTATAATCAATAAAACTCTCCCTCACACAGTTCAGTACACTCAGGTTGTTTGCCTCATTAGCATTATTTGGTCTAATATGACAAGCTGTAAATAGTTACATTTTAGCTAAGTGACGCAGATGTTTGGGTATAAACAATATTTAGATTTTTGTTTATAACAGAGATTAAAGTCAGTTCCCTGTTTTAATGACTTAAACTAGCCTATGTTTAAGCATTTAAGCAAGTTAATGTTGCCAAAAGTATTCAATTACATTTTACACAATAATGTCTTTCTAAATTTGTGGCAACTTTCAGGACTTTTTTTTCTTCTGTTACGACCCATATACAGTCTATGGTTTCAACGGTTACAATACACAACATGACATACTCAATCTTTGCCAGTAAAGCTCTTGAATTCACAACACAGTTCAGTTTGAAATGAACTCAGAAAGACTTGAAAAGAGTCTGTGAAAAATAAACACTGACACGCAGAAATGAAAGGCGACATAGTGGGTACTTTATATTCAAGTGTTGTTGTTTTTGCATTGTTTTACACATTGTGCATCTGTGACCACAGTAAAATGCCGAGCAGTTTTGCATAAAGAAATCCAACCTTGAGTATCCAAATACGAGATGTGGCAATTGTGCATGACATGAAAGAAATGCTTTGTGTTTACAGCAGTGGCGATGTAAGCTCCTCCACTTGATTTTCAAAACAAATTATCCTGGATATTGCGTTCAGTGTTAAACCGCCAACAAGATGAAAATCGAGTTATGGGATTTAGCAAAATATGTTTGTGAATTCTTTGCTGACAAAACACAATTCCATGCCAGGCTCGCATGGGAGAGGGAAATATTGATAGGTAATTACAGATGAGTCAGAGCTCAGGATAATAACAACTTGGATAAAAGCGCATGTTGGATGCACATTCAGTTCCACCACACAAAATTGCAGTAAGAGCGTGCAGACGTAGCGGACCGGCAGCCAGTCATGCCTTCTGAGGTTTGCGGCTCAAATTGACAGCACAAGCCTTTCTCCTCCGAGTACATTTTCTAGATGGATCGTGTAGGGTAACTTAATTTGGCTATCATTTGTATTTCCACATGAATCACTTCCTGCAGACCTGCATGTCCCAGTGCAGCCCGATATAAAAATACAGACAGTTCAACTCCGCCGTCAGAGAGGTGATTTGCGTCACTAGCAATCATTTAATTTTAGCAAACCACCACTTCCCACCAGCCTCTTTCATATCCTGAATGATACTTGATGTATTGAGCCTTTCACTCCCTCGATGCCTATACAGATTTTCCATTAATCTATGGGTCATATACTGCCCTCTGTCTAGCCCAAGATGTTGGCCCCTTTGCCTCCTTCTCATTTTTCTCAGATGTGTCATAGATGGTGTGAAGTTTGATGTGGTCATGTTGTGCCACAGCGATCTGGCTGAATCCACCGCTGAGTGGAGACTTAATCCCTCGCTCGGAGCTGCTTTTTCTCTCCGGGCGAAGAGATAGAGATGCTGAGGGAATGCAAAGATAAAGAAAACAGCATCCATTTATTTAATTACTCAGAGATGGAGTGAGTTAAAAATGTCTCTGTGTGTGTTTATGTGTGTCTCGCTCCTTTGTGTCATTCATAAAAAACACTAATTCCTTTTTTCCGTCTTTTCCACAGACTTCGCCTTTGTGTTGCCATGGCGACCGTGGCCCCTCCCTTCTTCCTGCTGTGTTGGCTGCTCCAAGCGGTCAGCTCGGCGTTCCCAGAGGAACCGGGGCCCCTCAACTACATCCCCACCGAAGGTATTGAACTCGCTGATTTTCTCACCCTCTAGGCACCTTCTCCCCCTTGCGTACCTCCCCCCCAGGTTGTGAAGTGTGAGGTGTGGGGTCGCAGCCGGTGTTGAATTGAGTGGGAGGGCACAAAAGAGGCTTAGGGGTCACGGCGTGGGCTGTGAAGGTCAGACAGACTCTGACACGAAGGGTGTTGACTTGCGTACAGGTCAGGAGGTGTGGGGTCGCACTCAGGAATGAGAGTATAGGAGGGGGCTCTCACGTTCATGACTTTCCCACACACACACACACACACACACACACACACACACACACACACACACACACACACACACACACACACACACCCTTGAGAGACGCTTACACACTCAGACTTTGAGTCTCCGTATCAGCTTGGCAGTCTCCAGCTCAGACCCTATCTTGATTGATTGCAGTTCAATATTATTGATTGATGGTTTCCCCGCTGAGTCCAGACCCTTCTCGACGTATCAATACCACAGAGTAGAGCGTAGAGAGGCTGACAGGCCACTGAGCGCTGCACTGGAGAGGCTGCTTCAGACTCAGCAGCTGTTTACATCAGGTACAAGCAGGGTTGGGAGGGTTACTTAAAAAAGATATTGTGGTACAATTACTAGTTAATTGGAAAATATGTCATCAGTAACCTAATGTAAGTATCACAGAATTAAATTAAGTTTCTGTTATTTATGGGTCACCTCAATATCAAATGCAGTTGTAATAAACACAAGTAAAATATATAAAAAATATGATGGCTTAACTTAAGTGTATTAAGTATAAAACATTTCTGATATTTAGTATCAGAAATGTTTCCTCTTGAATTATAGGGTAGTTTTACAGGATACTAATTTACAAATGTTGTTTGACATTTGACAAACAGTATTGTTGTTGAAAAAAAAAAACAAGTGTTCACCTACTGCATTCAAAAAGATCTTTAAGAAAAATGGATGAAAGTAGCCTTAATGAAAACCAAAATAAAATACAGGCAGTACATCTACCTATAAAATATCGATTTGTATTGTTAAATGCATTTTAACATTGAAATCCTGCCCATATTTTGTATGTAACTGTAAGGGAATACAATTACCAGTTTTTTTCCAACCTGATTACATAACCCAGTTAAACGTAATCTGTTACCCCACAAGTCTGGTTATAAATCATCAAAGAAAATGCAGGCTTATCTGGAGGGTCAGACATGAGGAGAGTGTGGAGGTGGACAGAGAGAGAAGCGGATGAATCACAGTTGTTTTCCATGGCAGAGCGACATAGATACAAGAGGAAGAAATTACAGGGTAGAAATTATCTGAAGAAGACAAAACATAGAGGTGAAACCAGCGAAAAGTATATACTGTAGGATTGAAAGAGGTAGTGATGAAAGAGCGATGAGATGAGAGGATGAAAATATTCACCTCACTGAAGGTCAATCAAGGATAGCCACACTGCTAATGCATCTGATTTATACGTGTGATTTCTGCTTGTGGGACAACATGATAGAAACCTGCTGAAAATGCTCCACTTCTTTTATCTCTGATCTGTCTCCCCTAAGGTTTCCCTTTCTTAATGTACCAAGTTCCTTATCCTCCGAAACACTTTGAACATTTTGTTTTACCTCTTTGATGCTCTTGAAAATGTCACGTCTCTCTGGATGTCTTTCTTTATGAATGATCTGAAATGTTTGACAGAATATGTCTTGCCAAATGTGTCAACAAAAAGCAGCAACATTTCATGAAAAGCGTCTCCAAATCAACAACAAACGAAACTTAAATATTACAGTGACATATGATTTATAGATCCGACATGTTTTATTTTCAGAGGCTTATTTGTTTTGTTGTTCCTCGGTTTGTGCTCTGCTCTGTGGCTTTGTGGGCTTAATGTAGCAGAAATACTGCTGTTTCAAATGCAGGTCTCAAAAGTTGTCACCTTGAATACCTGTAACTGCCTCAGAGCTGTCAAAACAACCTAACAGCAAACCACTTTTATGTTGACTACTTTTCTATTTCGATGTCAGTTTCGGAATCGTCCATTATGTGTATCTGTCCCTTTTTTCATCCGCAGTCGTGAGAAGACATGCAGTGTTTCTGGGCCGACCCCACCGGACATGGCTCAGACAAGAGCCTCTTCACATCCAGAGGATCCTGCAGGTCAATCGGACGCTCTACATTGGAGCCAGGTACATCGCACACACTCATACTAATGCATGTATAGTATACACAGATAATTTATATCTATCTAAAGTGAGAATAGGCTTTGAAAAATCTTGGATCTGTGATTTGCCTTTGATTGTTTGCCTCACACACATAAATAAAGGTATATATATATATAGCTCTGTCAAAACCAGCTTTGATATCTGTTGGATTGTCTGTTATCACTGCATGTGTTGCCAAGCAACGTAAGCTATTTTCACTGGACAGTATTTTAGGAGTTGCAGTATTTCAGATCTTAGTTTACTAATAAAACATACCATCAGTACCAACTCTTGCTTGCTGGGTTGTCGTCCAACACTTTGGTTTATGTTTCAACATGCTAACTGCACACTAGCTAACGTGTTAGTGACATGTTAACATGCTTTAATGTACAAAAAGCTCTTTATTTTTCTCATACCACCTGTGCTGAAGCAGCTCTTTTCACCCTATGTCTGAAACCAGAGCCCAGTCTGCTCTGCTTGGTTAGTTGGCCGGCTCTTTTGTGATTGGTCAACGGCTTAGAGATGTCCCGCCCCTTAGCCTGTCACGTACAATGTGTTTGAGCGCTGGCCAATAGAAGCGCAAGTGATCAATAGTGATATCACTACACTAAGGAAGTAAATAAAGGAGGTGTTTTAGGCAGGGGGGGGGAGTGTGTGGGAGATAAACTCTGTCTGACGTGAACTTTTAGGATTTTAGCATAGTTTTCAGGCTCAAAAACTGCATAATAGCGACCCTTTAATAAACCTTGCATTATTTCAACATTACAACTTGAAAGTCAATCAGTTATTATTCCAGTGAAGCCACTTTCAGAAAGTTGTAACACCCTTATCAAAAGTTCTATAATCTCTTTTAATTGCTCGGTAAAATGAATGTGCCACTTAAGTCTTTTTTATAACAAATCTGTTCCATTAGCTTGTGTTTAGCTCAACATATGTTTTCTAGTTTGGTCTCCATATGAAGCTGGTCCCCATCTGTTGTCAGTGTGGTGAATGTGCTGATCCTGGACAGAAGCGCTGGTCAGGAGGGCCAGACGAGGCTCAGCTGCACCAGGTTTACACTGTAAAGCTACATCTGCTGCCCCCGGGGCCATTCAGGAGCCCGACTGAAACAGACAGGACTAACAGAAAACATACACCTCAAGATTTATTACCCATGTTGTCCTAAAATTAAATGTTGCTTGAAACATGCTATAAAAAAGAGACATAGTGAGTCTCCACATATGGCGCTGGTTATTTGCTGTAGTGGCAGTCTGAAAGAAGACTGAAGTGGTTTTCAATAAGAGACGCCACTGTGGTCCAGGAAATGACCCGGTCCCTGGCCTCCAGCTGCTCTAACCTCACTACTGAGCGTTGGTAGTAAATATATCAAAGTATGTGACAGGGTTCCAGCCATTCTGTCTGCGCTCAGCACACACATACACTCAGTCAGATAGTTAAACTCCACACAGACAGCTACAGCTACTACAGTCTGCCTTAAAATATAAAAAGAGCTATGAAGCCGTCTGAGTGACGTTAATTTCAATTTACAGCTGCAGAGCTTTTTACTGACTAGCAGGGGTAAACTGATATGAATGTCTCAGCCAACCAGATAATGAAACGCTCGTCTGACAGGCGGAAAGAGAGCGAGGCGAGGGGGGTTCACTTTTGGAAGAGAGATTCACAGAAAGAGCGTTTCACTAGTATATTTATACATTTCTCCTAAGTGGCTAATAGTGTTTGCGGCTTCCTGACAGAAAAGGATCAGCCTAGAAAAAAATCCAGATCTGTCTGTAAATGTTTGTGTGAGCCAAAGACAAACCCAGCAGGGAGGCATAACAAGTATAATTTCTAAATAAGAACCTGTGTGGAGGCAGGTATGGCTGCCAGCAGCTCCTACAGAGTGCACGGCTTGATAAGACGCCTCACTCATCCCCAATTCCTGTCACTATTAGCATGGCATGCTCTTCAGACTGCAAGCACTGCTAAATCCCTGCTTGGAGCACCTGCAGAGAGCAGCCACCTTTCCCTGTCCTCTCCCCATCCCCACTAAATGAAAGTAAACCATGTATTTGGCTGGTGGCTGTTGGAGTAAAGCGTCTCGCTGTGTTAAGCCCCATTTCATTGCTGTCCAGATGAGCAGCTGTGGATCCTGTGGTCTTCCGCCGGATCCAGGGCTAATACAAAATATAAACCAATTGTAGTGTGTGTTTATCTATCGGCAAGATGAACAAAGGAAGGAAGCCAATTCTTGATTAACTGTTCTAATTGTGATAAATAGTACGGGGTTTTTTGCCATCTGGCTCCGCACGCGTTTGTTTACGTTTTGCATTTCTTGGAAAGGAAAGTGTGTTGACTTACTGCCAGGTTGGTGGTGGCTCGGTTTATTGGCCCGCAGACGCTGACCTCAGAGGACACGGTGGGGGGGGGGTCATGGCCGGGTCAAATGCCTCATGGCAGACAAACAGGGAGACGCTCACTTGTTGCAAAGGCTTGGTGTCCTGGGAGGTAACGCAGACAGCTGTAGAGCCGCAGCTTGAGAGAGTCCAGCATGTAGGAAAGGGAAAGATTGTAGGGAGAGACACAAACACTCACATGGACACACACCACAGACTTTCCCCACACAATACACTAGTTCTGTAATAAGTGGTGGAAGAGCACTCTGATTCAAATGTGAATTGTAAAGGAAACTGTTCAAGGTTAGAGTCCTGCATTCAAAATCTTACTTAAAGAGAAGTACAAAAGTACTGGGATTATAATATACTTAAGTAAAAAAGCACAAGTAATAGCCCATTTCAGAATCATTTATATAAAACCAATTACTGGATTATGTTTATTCTAGCATTCATATTTTCACAGCTGTGGAGCTAATTACTTTTTATACTGCTACTGGATGTTTTACTGTAGCTTTGATTATGTGTCAATATGTTTATTTATTAGTTGATTTCTATTTATTTATATTAGATAATAATCTGAATCTGTAAGAAAATAAGTAACAAGTACACTAATGGCTTCTCAAAATATTGGAGAGTAGAAGTGTAAAGTAGCATTACATCAAACATACTAATAGTTAATTACCTCTTAGAGCACTTAAGTACAATACTAGAACACATTTACTTCAATAGATTACACCACTAACTATAAGGTGTTCCCTCTGGACTAATCGTCATAGTATTCTGTTTGGCCTTTAGTGTAAACAAGTTAATGCCAATGACTTGCAGATTTATGTTAATTGAAATATAACTTTTGGTTAATCTGCAGGTTAAGATAAAAACCAATGATTAATACTAATTATCTTGATTAATCATGGAACATGGATCCTACAGTTCCAGTTTTTAAACGAAAAATAAATGGACACACGTCATTGAACATGCTTTAATTTATATATTTTCTACATTAATAGAAATATAACTGGTATTTAGCCTTTCATCTCGTTAATAAGTGTCCGTTCTGTGATAGAGAGAGCAGAGGAGCACATCCTCTGCTCTCGCTGTGACACACAGAGGACTCTCTCTCTTCTTAATGGTTGTCTGTGAGCTCCTGTGAAGGCTTCTTGATCTCATTATCAGTGTTGTAACAGTAATTAACCGTTATCATTGTCTCAATCTATGCTGTGTGGGTCCTTAAATGTGGGGCAATGGGCCGTGAAAATCCTTGAAAAGTCCTTGAATATGAAGTTTAAGATGGTGTGGGAACCCTGTAAAGCATCTTTCCTTTGATAAGTCAGTGTGACCGACCAAGCTGCTGGCAAAAGGAGTGACAGGTGGATTTCAAAAGATGGGTTTTATTTACTTAAAAAAGAAGATCACACTTAAACAAAGATTCCTATCAGATGCAATGAGAAGTCAACTTTTCAACAGTTCAGGCAATTAACCATTTCAAAAATGCTGGAAAAATCTATTATGCTCTGCAATCGCTGCATACATGAGTATACTTATTTATTATTATTTCACTTATACTTTCCTTTTTAAGTAAATGAATATTTCTTCTAACATGTCTAGTGTTAGGATTGTTTTTATGGATTTTTAAAAACATTTCTTGTCTAGATGTATTAGGTATTAAAGGTAGGGTAGGTAAGTTTGAGAAACCGGCTCGAGATACACTTTTTGTTATATTCCATGGAATGCTCTTAACATCCCGATAGCAATGAATATCTTAAAAAATGTCATCTGTGGAAGCCGTAGTACTGTAAAAAGTACGACCAATCATTTTAACCGGCCCGGCTAAAATAACTGGATGGCCTACCTGCCTGTCAGCCTTCCATCGGGGCACAAACTTATCTCGTGCCCTCATTGGTCATGTGCGCGTTCGTGTGTGTTGGAGGAGGGGCTCTGTAAGGAAGTGGCAGATTTTCTCCGGTTGTGTATTTTCAAATTCTAGCGATCTCGAGCCGGTTTCTCAAACTTACATACCCTACCTTTAAGTCCTGTAGTGGGATTTAACTCATTTTTTGGCGTTTGCTGCAGCCTTAAAGTCACGTTTATGACGATGATGCTTAATGACTTTAATGTCTGATGAATATCTTTGACCAAAACTTTGCTCTAAGTAAGAACTTAGTACGGTGTGCAAGATTGCTTTTGCTCTTTTTGAAGTTTTGGGAGCACTACCGTTTGACTTTTTAGAATTTAGTATGTGATCCACTAACTCATGCATATATTTACTGTCACCCAAATGCATGCAAAATCACAGAGTCACACAGTCCTCTCCCTCAGTCAGCAGAAGTGTCAGGGTAACTATGTGGTCAGCTCAAATCCTTCCATTTTAATGTCATCCAGTGGATCAGCTCTGCCTAAACACTATTGAAAGGCTCAGACCGGCTCATTGCTGCTCACGCTAAACCACAATATAGCTAATAGCACGAAGAAGAGAAGTTAAACTAAAAGGAAATACTGCAAAGCCGGGTGGATTAAGATGTCTTGACCTTGAGGCTGGCGTTGTTTGGACTGCTGCATGGAGAAAGTTCATGAGCTGGTCATTTCAGAAATGTTGACAGTTTCTCTTCAGACTCTGTGTTGACTCTGTATCAGCCGGGTCAAAAAGGGTCGGAGGCGTATATATGAAATAACAGCTCAGGCACGTGCACATCCTACACACACACCTACACCCAGACAAAGAGAAAGAAATCGGAGACTTGATTTGTAGGTTTTATGGTTGGTTGTGAGTTGAGGCGCCTCTGTATGACCTAATGAATCAAGGCTATTCAAGGCTCCTGCCACATAAAGAAATAGTTAGAATAGAATTGGGAGGGATGAACCCCTCTGTAATGGTCACACATGCAGAGCACACAGCACACACAGTGAAATGTGTTCTCTGCATTTAACCCATCCTAGTACCAGGAGTCTAGTACTAGGAGCAGTGGGCAGCTATTGTACAGCGCCCGGGGAGCAATGGGAGTGTGCGGGGAAGGGGGGTGTCCGGTGCCTCGCTCAAGGGCACCACGGCAGGGCAGGAGGTGAACTGGGACCTCTCCAAGTAGCAGTCCACACTCCATATTTTAGGTCTGGTCGGGGACTTGAACCGGTGACCCTACAGCTCCCAGTCCAAGCCCCTACTGACTGAGCCAGTTCACATGTTAGTCCTGATTCCTAACCTTCTACTACATGCAGTAAACATTAAATCCACTGACACACATACATACAAACAAATGAAAAACATACAGGCTTTGCATCATTCAAACAACCTGGAAGGCAGGATCAGGGATGGAGAGAGAGGCTGCACCATAAATAATCCCCCCTCCTCTGCACCATCAGAGGCAACAGCGCTGGCTGCCAGCCACTCTGACTAGGAGGCCTGTTGCTATATTCATTATGTTAATGCTGAGACAACGCTGAAGCAGCCTGGATGAGATTACGCCTCACACTCTGGCCCACTCCACTGTTTGGAGAACGTTTAAACTCTGACCTGTTAAGCAGAGAAGCACTGAGCTACTGTTTGGTGATTTTGCACTTCTTAGCTACTTAGCCATTGTCCCATTCTGCGAGGTTGAGTAAGAGTGGGAATCTTACTAAAACGCCAGCAGGAAGTGAGGATGAATTATTCAGGATTGGAGTAACCTTGATGGTTTACCTGCGCTCTCATCATGCACGCATTCTCACCGCTTTATCTCTCTTAGAGAAACAGATGCAAACACACATTGATACACACACCGAGGTGGTACGATTACTCACATGAGCAGGCACCTGTACATGGATGCATACATGATAACCTCTGCTATCAAAGGAAAAGGAGAAACCAAGAGAACATGCAGTACTGGGAGGCAGAGCTTGTTCAGAGATGGGATCGATACTGCAGCAATAACACGGCTATGGCAGATTTACAGATTAGCCCATCCAGAGCCCCGGCCCTTTGCTTAGATGATCTCCAAGCTCTAGATTCATCCCAGCAGATACGGAGGCCTTGATCAATATGCAGGCGTCAGCTGCTACGAGAGCTGCCAAGCCCAACTCTCATTTAGCTGGCATTTTCACAGGAGTATCCAAGGTTACTGAGAAATCATCAGCAGATTAAAGGTGCACACACCAAGCCAACATCAAAAATAAAAAGCTGGGACTGTTGCTTTGCCTCACGTCCAATGGCCAGAAAGACGCAGTTGAACACACCACACAGCCAACGTACGTTATGCACCTTCATGAGGGTAAATAAATGTATGACTTTGTACATACAAGCCATTGTTATAGTACATATATTACAATTAGGCACCCACCATGAGAGAAAGCAGGGTTCAGAATATCATTAGTAGATAGTGTTTGGTTTAGGACCCCGTGTAGGCAGCATGTGGGGGTGTGCAAGCACCACTCTTAACAACTTCATTAAATCATCCATTAATTCAATTTCAGGCTTTTGAATAAGACTGATAAGCAGAATTTGGGGGCCATTTCAATGCAGCACGTAGAGTTTAATGAGAAGAAGCAAAAGGCAAAGGGGAGATATGGAACATTATGCAGTCGGGTACCATTCCTCATATATATTGGGAGAAATGAAAGACATTATAAAGCTGTTTCCTATCTCTGAGGGTCTGATCAACTTAAAGTAATAAAAGTCTCTGATATATATATATATGCATTACATAGCTGCACACAGAATTATTTAGTTGTATAACCACACTGATGTAATATATAGTGGAAATATTCATACTCAGAGTTTGTATTAAGTGTGTGGCTTGGATTTCATCCAGAGAAAATCTGCATCGACTTGCACTGTTCTGAGCTAGAAATAATATCCATGCTGTACTGTGGAACTGGTTTTCATAGTTTTCATAAGTGCCTTACCTTAAGCTTCGTATAGTGCTGCGTTGGCTGACTCCCAATCTCTCTCTCTCTCTGCAGGGATGACCTTTTCCGTGTGGAGTTGGACATCGTTGCAGGAGACGAGATGTTCTACAGCAAGGTGAGAACCTTTAGGACAGACTCTGTAGCATGTATTCATTTCAATTAGGTATCATTTGTCACTGGAAAATGTCATCTTCTACTATATAGAAATGCAAATGTGTAATCACGCATGAATGTGTGTATGTGTGCTTTTTTATATACAGAAAAGGACGTGGGAGTCGAACAAGAATGACATCAGGATCTGCAGGATGAAGGGCAAGCATGAGGTGAGACAGAGTGACTGATTCTCCACATTCTCTATCTTTCATTGAGGGAGTTCAACAACCTGTTAACACAACATTGACATTGACACTTAATACAGTTGATATGGCCAATGTCATAGCAAAGAGCTGCTAATCTACACATAGAACAACACAGCGTATTTATTTAGAGTTGGGTTTATGGTCATCAGGCACATTTAAGAACAATAATCTTGTCGCTCTGTGTTTGTTCTCCACCAACTCCTGAGGGAAATATCTGGCACTTAAGCTGAAAAATGCTTCACAAAGTTCACCAGAGAGCCACTAACTCTGCTTGGCAGGTAGATAGAGTGTGTTTATCAGAGATTCTCTTTCAAAGCAGCTGCATGATGATGAGAGCAGTGAGACTGAACCAAAACACTAAAGGTTTAAGCCGTAAAATGAAAATAATGAGCTGAAAGACGTCAAGAAGGCTCCTTACAGATGTGTAGTTGAGTGTTATGTAGAACTGGTATGTGTTCACCTCTACCCATCCCTTTATATATAAGTAGTAGTGTGATCCATTGGAAATGTAATTCTATGAAGTATAGCTTTCTTTAAAAAGCCTTATCATGAATGATGACAAAACATCACTTTAAAGAGGCCCTATCATGCTTATTCTCTTTAGAACAGTAGTGTTTTCATGTTAAATGGGCCAACATCATATCAAGTATTAATAGTACAATAATCTGGCTGAAACACAGACTTTAAAATACCATTAGAAAGCTCCTCATGTATTGTTTTTTAGGTTACTTTAGCATTTAATGTGTTATTTAACACTCTGTTACTGGAGGCATTTTCTGAGTTGTATCTCAGAGTAGTGATTGAATCAGCATATTTTTTTAAAGGGCTGACATTTCTGAAAAGCCCCTTAAGGAACTACAGATAATATGCCAAGATACGCACAGTAGAAAGTTACACTGAATATATTGAATGCCACATTGATAGTGAAATATGTTGAAATCTTGTCCAGTTACTCAGATTGTTTGTCTGGCGCTGTTCCTCTTTCTCATTATTCTGGCACACGTCCTACCTTCCTGCCTGCAGCTCTGCTTTCATTGTGCCAGTCATCTCACTGTCATGCCTGCTTGCTCAGCCTCACCAGGAGGAGGGCTCTGACAGATATTGTGTCATTGTCCCTGCTCATCTAACACACACACATTGATCAGAGGAACAGAGCCCCTCCTACCTATCCACCTCTTGTTCCACCGTGATGGGTTAGGAATGCGGTTTGTGCCCTCAGAAAATGCAGGTGGGCGTTGGGAAAATGATCCGATGAGAAAGTGAATGGGGTGAAACGTCCCAACAGCCACCAGCAGCCCACGCCTGAATACCCCTTATATCTCCAACACACACACACATACAAAGTCAGTGTGTGTGTGTGTGTGTGTGAAGTGGTGATGGTTGGCAGGGGAAACATGGGATCTGTCCCCTCCAGGCAGAGAAAAAAGTGACTTATTTAACACAGTGAGAGAACACCTGACATTAAATATGTGTGAGACAGTGCCAGACAGGAACACAATGGAGAATAGAGGGATGCAGACAAAAAGCCTAGCTGACAGCAGGAGAGAGAGAGAGAGAGAGAGAGAGTTGGTCCTTGTTGGCCGGCCCTGAGGAGAGCTGAGGGGCCGGCCGAGATATGAAAGGTCTTCTCGCCCCTAATGACTGTGCTGCTGCCTGGTGAGGCTGTGAGTCACACGGCAATGTGAGCGAGATAACACCGCTGCCAGGTCCTCTCCGTCAGCTCATGGGCCCGGACGCAACTGAATGGGATGTGCTTGTTTGTGTGTATGCAGGTACACACAGGCACTTTCGGTCACTCACTCACACACTGGCCAGGGTGCAGCCGGTATTATTTATAGAAGCCTTTACCATGTGTTTAGAGTCACTATAGTTTATATGGGACTGAAAGTGACATTATGTCTGTGTTCAACTACATAGATCTGACAAAGTAATGTGATCCTGCACTCAGAATCAGAATGTTTGCCCCGAAGCAGGGAAATGAACAGTGTGGCAAAAGGAGAGAGAGTAGACTTACATATTATCAACTAATTTAACAGAAATAATACACATTGTAAAAAAGAAAGTAGCAGTATTTTCTAAAGAGGGAAGAAATAAGAGTAGGAACCGGTAACGTCAACAAATTATAAATAAATATTATAGAAATTGCAAAAGTGTTTATTGCAAACAAGCAGTGTGCAATGTTTTACTGCTACAACAACAGCGACAACACAAAATACAGCCAAAAAATGACCACAGAGTTTTACCAATACATCTAAAATGCATCAACATTTATAGATACCCTGTGGAGTTAACAAAGTTGACAGTCAGTGGTTTCCCCGAGAAACATTTTGTTTAATGCATTTCCTTTCCCATAAAACTTTGAATAAAGGCAGCCGAAAGGGACCACTTATAAAATACTGCTGTGGCCTGTCAGCTGTGTGTGTGTGTGTGTGTGTGTGTGTGTGTGTGTGTGTGTGTGTGTGTGTGTGTGTGTGTGTGTGTGTGTGTGTGTGTGTGTGTGTGTGTGTGTGTGTGTGTGTGTGTGTGTGTGTGTGTGTGTGTGTGTGTGTGTGTGATGTGTGTGTGTGTGTGTGTGTGTGTGTGTGTGTGTGTGGTGTGTGTGTGTGTGTGTGTGTGTGTGTGTGTGTGTGTGTGTGTGTGTGTGTGTGTGATACATGCTTGGTGAGTATGAAGGAGTCCTATAGGTAAGCACCCTCCTGCTGCCTCTCTCATCTCCCACTGAGAGGCCAAGATGCCATCAACAGATGCTCCGATGTGTTTGTGAGGAGACATGGAGTTGAAGGAGATCGGAGGAGAGTCAAATAGTCTTTCTGTCTCTTTCTTTTTCGTCTCACTGTTTAACGAGTGAGTGTGAGAAAAAAGAGCCACACACCTTTTTAATGTGTTTTTTAGAGCCGGTCTCTAAAGTGAGCTAGCCGATAGTGACAGAGGAGAAGCGAAAAGACCGTTGGATGCCCAGTAGATCTCATTATCAGTCGACACTGTGTACAGTACTTGTGTGTGTGTGTGTGTGTGTGTGTGTGTGTGTGTGTGTGTGTGTGTGTGTGTGTGTGTGTGTGTGTGTGTGTGTGTGTGTGTGTGTGTGTGTGTGTGTGTGTGTGTGTGTGTGTGTGTGTGTGTGTGTGTGTGTGTGTGTGTGTGTGTGTGTGTGTGTGGTGTGTGTGTGTGTGTGTGTGTGTGTGTGTGTGTGTGTGTGTGTGTGTGTGTGTGTGTGTGTGTGTGTGTGTGTGTGTGCACGCGTGCGCGCGTTAGTTATACCAGTTTTGCTACATACAGTAATGCATTCAAATAAGTCGAACTTTCATATCAAAGGAGAGACACTTGAGCATATAAAAACACGCAGCAATGTAACAATCCTTTCTCATCGTCATTTACCGCCACTGTATCATACATTTGCCCAAGGTAGCTTATGCCTTAGTATCAGCTTACCTTTACAAGACAGATGCCGAGGGGCGGGAGAAAGGGCAACATCACTACCAGGGAATGACTCTGGGCGACAAACCCTGCTTACTGGCTGAGTTACACCTCATGTGGGGCCCAAAAGCTCTTTGTTAACGCCAAGAAACATGCCTAACACAGCAAAATAAGAAGAAAGGAGAAAATACCATCAAAGGGCAAGGTCCCATACAGACCTCCACACAGCTTTAGTGGGACATAAGTGATGACTGAGAGGGGTAATCTTTCTATAACCTATACATTTGAAAATACTGCATACTATACCTTTTTAATAAATAATGAAAAATGTTAACATGGTGATGACCCAGCAGGCGCCTTAACACAATCATATATGTGAAAGAAACATACACTATTTGATGTAATTTCATTGTCTGGGATCCATTTTGTAATATACGCAGCGTGATTAATCTTGCCTTTTTCATGAAATACCTGAATTGGACCAAAGTGTGCACAGCATTTCTTCTTTCAACAAAGAATTGCATCATCTTTTTGTTTGCTTAAGCCCTGTAATAAGTTCAGCTTTGATGCAGCCTTAACGAACCAACAAAGACCTAATTAAATATATATTTTGGTAACCAAATGATATGAATTGTGTATCATGAAATCAATGTTACAGTGACGTTCCTGTCGAGCTACAGTGTTTACCGCGGGGCTTTTGTGTTCAAATGATTGCTACAGGCTTTGTATTCCCCGAGTACCTCTTGCTGTTTTCCTCATCATTTTGGAGGTCAAGCTGCCTGAATATTTAACCAAATTACACTCTTTTCCTGACTCTAATGTATGCACAGAGGTGAGGTCACTAACCCTCATGTACATTATATGTTAATACATATTCATGATTTCAAGGGTTCTTATCTGCTTCTCTCTTAGTTTCCGCCTCCCACACATGCATGAACACAATTAAAACAGAAAGTCACATCTATCAAGCAGTCATCTTGTGTGTGTCACCCTCCCTTCCTCCCTTCCGCCCTTCCTCCTCTCCTCCACTTCCTCGTCCTCAAAAAATGTCCTGTTCTGCTTGGGGGATGGTTGTGTCAGATGTGATACATTCACCACCTCATAATTGGTTTTGTAATTAAATGTTTCTGCCTGGTTGATCACAAAGGACATAGTATTCTCCTTAATTAGGCTGAATATTCAATATCCAGATTTCTTTCCCCCTGCTTCTCCTTTCGCCTGTGTTGACCAAACGATTGTTGATGAAAGCAACAGTCTGCCTCGCTGTCACTCACTCTGCATATTCCTCATATTTGCCTTTGTCCTTAGCTTTCTGCCGTCTCTTTATCCCTCTTGTAATTGCCCTTTGCATGTTGTTCTCTGTCATTGCCTCCCCCATTCTCTTTCTCTTCTTATGAAAGCAGTAGAAAGAGATAGACAGAGGGTGAGACCTACCCCAGAAGTGGCTCAGTGCCAACACATCAGGCCATGGCAGCGTGGCATGCGCATGCAACCAAAGGCAATTCCATATAGAGCGCTTTTAAAGAGCGGTTGGGCATCGTTATAAGCAG